ATACCGAGACGCATGCTGAGCTGCTGACTAAGTACTGGTTGTAAAAGGCTAAAGTTGTCTGGAGGCAATTAGTAGTCATTTATCTGGTTTTCCTAAATTTCAAAACATGTTAAGAATGTAAATGTGATTCATTGGATCTTTTACTCAACTGCCCTGTTTTATCTGTTCCCTTTTAGAGGAAAAATTCCACCCCTGCACACACAATCTAGGATTTTCCAATAGGAATGCCTAAATGGAAATATGGATATTACACAATTGGAAAAAGGGGCAACTTTGTATTTGTGCTTTGCTGTTCTAATAACTTTAATATCCAAGAGCAAGCCAGATTTCTTCTTTGGCAATGATAGAATATTTGATGGTAAAAGTTAAAGTCTCTAAATCTACATCATTTCATAAAAATTTCAGATATGAACAAATTCTCTGTCAAGATAAATTCAGACTAGAGGTGCTCTATGGTCTTTGTAACCACGATTCCATTTCTGTGTATAGTCATGCCTTGCATTAGATATAAAGGATGATGTGCCAGGAGCTTTACAGACATAAAAAAAGATTAAGAATAAAGAGCTGGCAATCTGCAATTGGTAATGTCTGTTCTCAGAGGAGGGCAGTAATAAACCTTGGTTATTTAAATCTTTTACCATGTGCTACAGACATTGGAACAGAAAAGTGTGCTCAAAATTTAAACAAGAACAAGAACACCTGTAGCAACAGAGCTTTACTAGCATTATGGCCACAAGCCTATTTGAAGATCTAAAATTAATTTTCTTCATAATTGGGAAAATTCTTAAGGAGGGGCAGTTTTGACTTTCACAGCTATCTATGGAATAAAGTAATGTGTTTCTTCAGAGAAGCCAGAGGAGGGATCACACTAAAGAACTATGCCAGATGTCTCCCACATGGGTAGACACAGGCAGGCAACATTTTCCAGCTGTGGGCTGAAATAACCCACCCTGGGCCAGATATGCAGGAAGACAGGTGCTGGATCCAGCCACAGCTGGTGCTTGTCCCTACAGCAGCACAAGGAGAGTGCTTGCAGTTGTAGGCCCACACTGCTGAAGTCCCACGGCTGGGGGCTGGATCTAACAATTATGTGGTCTAGACCAACCTGTGGTTTGTAGGTTACCAAACCCTGACCTAGTTTGTTTTTTTTTGCTTCAGCAGCAACTGGCTGCTCTTCAACTGAAAAATGATAGCAAACTTTATTCATAGTTGCTTTATCCATCTATGCTTTGTATCTAATTCTTTCCTTTCTCTGTTTCTTCTCATCACTCCTTCACATTTGTATCTACTACAGCAGAGGAAAATTGCAGCCATGATTCCATAAGAACATAAGAAGGGTCATACTGGCTCAGGCCAATGGTCCATGTAGGCCAGAAGCCACACGGAAAGCTGGCCTCTCCACAACGTCCTGCTAGACCTCACTGGCATGATGGCTCCTGAGGTCCCCCTCTGATTAAAGGGCAGAAGCTGTAAGGAGAAGCCAACAGGAATTAATGCTGCTTAAAATATTAACCAGTAGCATATGTGGGGTGCGGGGGCAAGTACTGTGTACCAATTTAGAGGAAACACTGATATGGGCTCCTTCCTCCTACAGTCTCTGCCATGGCAGGCACAGCCCTGAGCAACCTAAACACAGAAGTTCAGTAAGTGCAGCACCAGGTCCAATAATATATCTGGGGGCACCCCCTTCTCGGGAAGTTTTGCCAGTGCATGGGGGTGAGGGAAGAGAGGGGTACATAGGGCAACAGGAATGGACCCTAGGGAGTCCATGCCACTGCCTGGCCTTCAGCAGCTGCAGCCCATGCCTGCATTGCTACAGCAGAAGCTACAGCAGTAGCAGCTGCTGCCCAAATGAGGACAGCCCCAGAAGGTAAGCTTCCTCTCTCTATCTCTGCCCCCTCCCTCAGTGCTCAGCATAATTCCACCCCCACCCCCTCCAATGAAAGAGCTTGCCATGCCTCTTATATTAACAATTTCCAATAAGAGGCTGAGTCCTTGCTTCATTACCTCCAGATTTAAGAGCCCTGATCAGAGTTCTGGAAGCAAAGCTGCAGAGGAACTAGAACTGCAATGAACTACAACTAGAGCTGCAATGAACTAGAACTATCTACTCTCCTTGCCTCTTCCTGCCTGTCCAGTGAACAGATTCCCCAGATCTATGTCCCTTGCATTTGACCTCTGTAAAAAGAACCAAAACATACACCACACATAGGATTTATGCTGGCTAATCCACACTTCCTTCAGTGAATAATCCCAAGTAAATACTTTGTAAACTTCCTGTCCTTTCCTTTTACCTAGGAAAGTACCCCTGACTGCAAGTCAGTGTTTCATGAATCTTCATCTTGGCTCTGACAAACATTTATCTACTCTGCCTAAGTTATTTCTCTCTCCAAATCTGAAAGCAATGCTACTAATCTGCTGCCCTCATAGAAATAGCTGAAAAACATTTCTGAGGAAACACATTATGAGAAATAAATTTTTATTTTTAACTAATCTGCTGTTTTACTTCCTTCAGTATCCAGCTCATTTTATAACTCGATTTTACTTTCAGAGGCCTGAGAGCTTAGAAGCAGGGGTGCGCAAAATATGCCCCATGGGCCAGATCCAGCTTGCCAGGCACTTTCATCTGGCCCACAGTGCCCAGCAATTAACTGTACCCTGCCCAGCCCTTCTGCCCACAAGGGTGGGAGCGAAGCACCACACATACACATCCCACCAATGTACCCTACTGCGTCTCACTCCTACCTTCATGGGTGAAAGGGCCCAGCCTGGCCAGCACACAGCTTCCAGACAGGGCTGCTGCTGCCACTGCTGCAGCTGCTGGAGGACCTGCTTGGCTTCCCCGGCATCCTGCTCACTCTAGGCAGCAGGTAAGGAAGCAGTGGGGGTGGGAGCTGAAGCTGGGCAGGAGCACGGAGTGTGGGGCTAGCAGCCTGTGCCAGGGGTGGGGAGATATGATGGCAGGAATATGGAGCTTGGGTGGGTAGGGTGCGAGTGTGAGGGACGGTAGGGTGCAAGTGTGAGGGAGGGTGGAGTGGATCCCCCCCACCCCCGGCACAGCAGCAGAGGCAGCAGGCTGGGGCACTCATGCCCAGCGCAGGCACTGGTGCCTGGTGGTGCATAGCTCTGGCCAGCGCTGTACATTGTGGTGAGTGCAGGCTGAGCAAGCTGCCTGTATTGTCAGGGCTCCCCATTGTGCATGTACAGCCCCTGCATTCATGCATCACTGGAGAGAAGCCCCCCACGCTGGAGCCAGTCGCCTTCCCCAACCCCTGTCTTGCAGGTCCTGGGACTCAGCCTGAAGTGGAGGGGAGCCCTGGCAGGACCTGTGTGACAGGGGGCAGGGAGTCCCGGGACCTGCGCAGCAAGGGGTAGGGAAGGCAGCTGGCTCCAGCCCGTGACGCTTCCTTCCCATGCTGTACAAATGTGGGGGCTGCACATGTGCAGTGGGGAGTGCCAGCAAAAGAGGCAGCCCAGCCAGGCTGTGCATGCTGCAATGTGCAGTGCTAGCCAGAGCTGCACACCACTGGGCAGCAGCACCTCTGCCATGCACCAGCACCTCGAGCACCTCCACCTGCTGCTGCTGCACCATAGGGGAGGTGTGAGGGGTTCCCCACCCCTCCCACCCTCCCTCACACCCCACAAATGCCACACACTAGCACCCTGCCTCAGCCCCCCATATATACACCCCCCCAACATACCCTATGCCCCCCACACAGCCACACCCCCTTACAAGCCCCCAGCATACATACCCCAACACAGAATATACAAAACTAAGAATGTATATTTGAGTTATTATGCAATCACCTCTATATACCGTACACAAACACAAATCATGACAAAAATTTTTTTTGTAATAAAATTAAAATATGTTATAGCAAGTGTTTGACTTTTAGTGTATGATTTGGTTTTTTTCTGGTTCTAAGATGGCAACCCCCCTCCCAAAAGGAGTATTTCTGGGGGGGCAAAGGGAGGGACTTCCAGTGGCAAAGGTCAGGGGGTGGGACTCCTGATCCCAAGATGGCAACATGGGGATAGGGCAACTGTGAAGGAGTGGGGCTACCCATGCAGCCCTTGAAAGCTCATCAAACCTCATTAAGAGGCCCTTGAAATAACTGCCTGCCCCAGCTTACAGTCTAACTTCGAAAGATGTACCAGGAGCTGGGAAAGTTTCTCTTCCCCCCCACCCCCACCCCCTTCTCCCAACTTGTAAATATTTATCAGGAAAAAAACAATCCATGTTGTGGCTGTGAGGAGCACTAATTCATATCGCTAAAGCAATATTACAGTAAATGTGGAAGGAAAAAATTAACAAAGTTGATCTGAGCTCTCATTTAATTTCACAGCTCACATACCCAAGGCAGAAAGAAACTTTACGAAGTGAAATAACATTTGATTTTATGCAGGATGTGGTTTTAAACTATCATGAAGAGCTTGCTTACAAAGGGAAAATGACAGGCTTAGCTACAGCGGAATACAAGTTCTGTAGCTATATGAAGGAATAACTATTTTGGAATAATCATAACTGTAAAAACAAAAATACTTATACCTTACCTGTACTTATTGGAATTACAGTTAGCCCAGAATGATGTCATTTTTTAAATTACAGAAATAGATTATCAACATGACTGGTTATTTTAGAATAGCTATATTAAAATAGCTTATTTCAAGATGGCTATGCTGTTAGATTTCCCTAGGGAAGCAACCCTTAACTTAGCCTGTGGTTTCATGTTGGGAAGAATCAACAAAGACTGCAGGTTTGCCGATACAGTTTGCTCATCCAACCACACACGTAAGAACAGCCATCTTCCTTCTAATTTGTGCGATTCTACTCCCCATTTAAATGCAAAAGACACATTTTGTTTTAACACAAAGTTATAAAAATGCTTCTAATTGCTTGCAGGAAAAGGTAAACTATAAAGGGTGGCACTGATTGCTTTATGCTTAGGCAAAGTGTACTTAAAAGCGAAACTGCTTATGAATAATTAACCAGCACTTACAACATTATAGCCACCGATTCTGCTGACAGATCCGGCAATATTAAGCCCATCTATCACAATATCATATGGAAGATGATTTTCCATGAAATCTTGAAATCTTTTGAGTTCCTAAAAGGAAAAAAAAGGGAGAGAGGGGGTTAAGGACCAGAGCTTTAACTTTTTAAATAAAAAATAAAAATAAGTCTCTCACTTACTGTATCCTCATGCCTTTGATATTTACTAGGACAGTGGTTTTCAACCTTTCTTCATTAACAGACCCCTAAAAAATCTGAATGGAAGTATGGGCCCCTTTGGAAATTTCAAATGGAGTTGTGAACCCCTCTGAATTGTAAGTGCAGTTACTCATATACTTTTGATTGATCACAGTCATCTTTCATGGACCTCTTAGACAGTCTATGGACCCCCTGATATAGTTTCATAGCTGGCAGGGTCGAAAGCGACCTGAACAGATCATCAAGTCCGACCCCCTGCCATGGCAGGAAAGAATGCTGGGGTCAAACGACCTGGGTAGATGATTGTCTAGCCTCCTTTTGAAGACCCCCAGGGTAGGAGCGTGCACCACTTCCCTTGGAAGTTTGGTCCAGATCCTAGCCACCCTGAATGTGAAGTAGTGCTTCCTGATGTCTAGCCTGAACCTACTCTCAGTCAACTTGTGGCCGTTATTCCTAGTTAATCCTTCTAGTGCTCAGGGAACAGGGACTCTCCCGTTCCCCGCTGGTCCCCCTTGGTAAGTTTATAGACGGCCAACAGATCCCCTCTCAGCCTTCTCTTGTGGAGGCTGAACAGGTTCAGGTCCTGTAGCCTCTCCTTGTAGGGCCTGTCCTGCTGCCCCCGACCATGTGAGTGGCCCTCCTCTGGACCCTCTCAATGCTGTCCACATCTCTCCTGAAGTGCGGCACCCAGAACTGGATGCAGTACTCCAACTGTGGCCTGACCAATGTCGCATAGAGGGGGAGGATCACCTCCTTGGACCTGCTTGTGATGCATCTGTGGATGCATCACAAGCTGTGGTTAGCCTTACTGACTGTGTCCTCACATTTGTGGCGCATGTTCATCTTGGAATCAATGATGACTTCAAGATCCCTTTTTGTCTCTGTGCTGATGAGAAGGGTGTTCCCCAGCCTATAGGTATGCTGCTGATTCTTTCTCCCTAGATATAGTACCCTGCACTTGTCAGTATTGAAACCCATCCTGTTCTCATCTGCCCACCCCTGTAACCTGTCCAGATCCAGTTGTAGCCTGTCCCTCCCTTCTATCATGCACCTCTCCCCACATCTTAGTGTCATCCACGAATTGGAACAAGGTGCTTTTCACCCCCTTGTCCAAGTTGCTGATGAAGATGTTGAACAGTGCGGGCCTGAGGACCAAGCCCTAGGGGACCCCACTGCCCACATCCCTCCAGGCTGAAAATGACTCATCCACCACCACTCTGGCCAACTTGCGACCCATCTGACTGTGTAGGCATCAATGCCACAGTCGCCTAATTTTTTAATGAGAATGGGGTGAAAGACAGTGTCAAAAGCCTTCCTAAAGTCCAGAAAGACTATGTCCACCATGACACCTGCATCCAAGGATTTTGTGACCTGGTCATAAAAGGCAAGCAGGTTGGTCTGACAAGGCCTGCCCCTAATGAATCCATGTTGGTTGGCCCTGAGCATAATCTCACCTGCTGGTCCCTCACAGATGTGCTCCTGGATAATTTTCTCAAAGAGCTTCCCCAGGACCAAGGTAAGACTAACGGGTCTATAATTACCTAAGTCCTCCTTCCTCCCTTTTTTGAAAATGGGGACCTTGTCTCTTTACAGGGGCTTTTCAGAAAGAAAAAAAAGAAAGAAAAAAAATATTAAAAGTTTTGGTCCTTATTTACAAGGTGCACAGATCACTTCTACAATGCCTCTGTGGTGAGCCTGGGAACGCTGCTCAGAAGTACCCCACCCCGCAAACTTACCAAAGCCTAGAAATCAGACACATTAGCCAGTTTAATGCACATGGACCAAGAAGCTCGAAACAGCCTGAGAACTGCTCTGGGTACACACACACACACTAAACTGGCTACTCTGTCTAATTTCCAGGCTCTGGCACATGCTACATTGGAGCAAATGGGCAAGACATGCTTCTTAGCATGGCTTTTGAGTTCATCATGGAAGTAGCACAATGCCCATGGCCAAGCATAACAGAGAGACCAGATTTATTTTATTTTTAATGTTTGCCCCTTCCTATTGCTTTTTCGAAATCAGAAGAAACTTGACTAGACAGAGAAACAGTACAAATGGTCAAACTGAAAAGTTGTCAAATATCTAAACTAAAAGAAAAATAAAAAAAAATGTCTTCTTCTAATAACTTTCAGCTACAATAATCCCAATAATAATAGCAAGTAAAACAACTTCAGACAAAAGTGTAAGTTGGAAGCTCATCATATCCCTTATACCCCCTTGACATGTATAGGCAAAAGGTCCGATGGGATCTAATGCACGATTCACACAATTGCACCTCCTGCCATGCCACATGTAGGTGTGATTGTGAGATGTGCATATTAGATCCCATTGTGCCTTGCTGCCATGGCAGGGGGAGCCTGGCCCTCACTAGAAGAAAGCAAGCTCCCACAGCTGGGAGCCCCATACACCCCTGGGGCAGGGGGGATTGCCATTGCGGTGATCCCCCTACCTAAGGGGTGCATGAAACCCACAGGGCAAGAGGACTGCCACAGGAGAGATCCCTCCCCGTCCTGGGGGTTTCACGTACCTCCAAGGCAGGGGAATTGCCCCTGCAGTTATCTTCCTGCCCTGGGGGTTTCATGCACCGATAGACTTGGGGGAGGGGAAGGGGGGGAAAAAAATCACCTGTGTGGCAATCCTCCCACCCTGGGGTTTCATACGCCCCCGGGGCAGGGAAATCACCACTGAAATGATCCCCCCCAGCCCTGGGGGGGTGCATGAAACTCCTGGGGCAGAGGGGTGGGGTGGAAATCATTGGGAGGCACATGCTGGGGGGAACGGTATCTGCAGCTGTGGGACTCTGGGTCCAAGCAGCTGCAGGGTGCTGCTGGGACCCATCACCTGCAGGGGAGACCCTGCTACACATGCAATTTAAAAGGTTGATAGCAATCAGCTATAAAGTTAGTATGTACTTTCAAGGTCTAACTTTATAGCTGGTTGGAATTTTCTACTGTGTGATAAGTACTTTGCAGGTGTAGTTAGTGTCAAGGCACTTATTAGGGGTGGGGGGGGGGGAGGGGGGGAGGGTCTTAGTTTCTTCACACTTCTGTTTGAAAATGCTTACATTTTCTATAAAGGCTTTCACCAGCAAATGAAATAGTTTAGATTTCTCTTTTATTTGTACTCCTGTAAATCCAAAAAAACCCCTAAGTGATGCATGTTACTTATTTCTTGATTTATTATCTTTATATACATGTACATGTGTTGACAATATATTTGGACAATTACACACACACCCCATAAGTTGTCCAAAGTTGTTTTACTTGCTATTATTATTGGTATTATTGTAACTGAAAGTGGTTAAAAGATTTTTTTTCTTTTAGTTTGGATATTTGGCAACTTTTCAGTGAGTGTAGCCATTTGTACTATTTCTCTGTCTAGTCAAGTTGCTTCTGATTTCCAAAAAGCAACAGGAGGGCAAACCTTAAAAATAAAACAAAGCATAATAGTATGCTTACACACACACACAAGCCCTTATTTACTTATTTGTATGTGTGTGTAAATATAGATCTCTAGATCTCTATCTATACACACACAAGTAAATAAAATCACAAGATGACCTTGAGCAAAAGAAGCTGTTGGGTATATTCAATTCTTTCTATGGTGCACATTACACTACAATATATTCCCGGTCATTGGTAAACCTAGACAATATACAGAAAGCAACTTTATCTTTATGCTGCATCTTACACCTGTGCCTCTGAAGAAATTAACTGACAGCACAGATACCTGGAAAATCCCCTAGACTAGCTGAAATGCAAATATGTACTGTGGATTATTAGAGTTCAAGGTGTGTCTCTGACATGAACCCAGTCAACCCAGACATGTAATCGAAATCCTCTAATTCTCTCAGATAGCTGTAACACAAAAGGAAGTAGAATTAAACACACAAGTTTATTTTGTATCTTAGGAAACTGCCATGTGACCTATTGCTAAGAACATACATATGCAGTTATTCCACGTACTATGACAAGCTTTAATTTGCATGTCAGTACATCTAAGAAATAGTATTCATACCATACTGGTATCACTAATAATTCCACTTTAAAGTAAAATATTTGTATATTTATTAAGTGCCCAATCCTGTCCCTTTAAAAATCGAGGGAATTTTATCACTATAGTTTTTCCCATAGAAATGCAGGATATGGAACCTAATGTATTTCAGTTTTATTGAGCACCTTTGGGGAAAACGCAAGCACTCTCAAACAAAAAGCTAAGAAACTGAAGAGAAACTGAGGGATGTAACATCATTCTTCTAATCCTGTGAAATCTTTACTACATGCTGTAGTAAAAAGCAGCACTGCTGTGGTGAAAAGGGTGGTTAGATTTGAAGATGTGATGTCATTCCTTCTCATGTCTTCTTTGACTCTATAATTTTCTTGTTCTCTAGCCAATGCTCTTGAGTATCACCATCCTTAAATTAAATATTCATCAACCTTTTTATACTGTGCTCATTAACTGAATCATTGCACTCTGAAAGTACTGAAGGCCGACAGGGAAGTATTCAGGCCCCTGAATACATATTGATAGACACTTCCCTTATAGGAGAAAGGGCAGGATTCATTATTCTTGAAGAATCTGAAAGGCCCCTTAAGAAAACAACCCTTGAGGTAAACAGTCTTAACTACCGACCAGTTTCTCGTCTTTCTTTTTTTTGGAAAAGGTCTTAGAGAAAAGTGGTGGTCAGAACCTTGATGGTTTCAAAGATCCCTGGATTTACCTGTCTGGAAAAATCAGAAATAGACGTGTATGAAAAGACCATTCTATTGGGGTTCTATTGTTTTTGTCAGTCAAGTGAATGACAAAGACAAATTGTTGAGTCCTTCTGAAGGACTCAGTGGACAGTTGTTCCTGTTCCTCAAGGCATCTCTCCCATGAAGTGTCACTGAAGCA